AAACACCCTGCTACTATTTTTCAGTGAGGATTGCACATCTGTGCATATGTGACATTCTGCAGGCTCCGGACAGGGAAACACCGACCTCTGGATGAACCTCTGCCTCCAACTTTGTCCCCCGTCTCCCACCAGCAGTGAGCGCGGACCCCGAAAGCGGAAGGTGGTGCAGGGAGGAACCGCGCCGTGCGATGCTCCGGTCCCCAGCCCCAGCGCCGCCTCACCAGGGGAACCCCAGCCATCTCCTCCCTCCATCCCGGTGCAGGGTGCGGGTCTGCACAGCAGGCACGGCCGATGAAATCAGCTGAAAAGTCCCTGATCTTGAGCAGGGACTTGTGCGGAGAATCCCTGTGCAGTCGCATCCCGAGGCTGTGAACTCCCTGTGCAGGAGCGACTGGCAGAGCCAGCGGGGGGTGGACCCAGAGCCAGCTGAGGTGCTGTGCAAATCCCGGGAGGCTTTTCACGGACCGTGCCAAAGGCAGAGCGAACCATGCTGCACAAACAGGAAGAGGTTTGCTCCTGCGGATCGTCGGGCATCCTGTGCTTCTCACTGCTCCTGGCCTCCAGGCTGGCTGCGGGGTCCCCAGCGTGGTCTGTTGGAGAGATGCCGTGTTCCCCCCGAGGCTCTCACGGGAGAGGTCTCCGAAGGACGTGAGGAAGGGCACAAGCGCAGTCCAGGTACTTTGCTGTAGTCATACAGACTTTGCCCAGCATCTCCTGGTCTGGCTGGGGAAAGACATCCCAAGAACAGCGAGATCAGGAAAAACCTTTATTTGCAAAGAAAATACCGACAATTTACATCAACTTACATCCTAATTTATATACACTATGTATATTTTACATACAGGCAATGCCTTGGATAAAGATGTAGAAGTACAAAACAGCATCAGTACATCCCTGTGGGGCTCTAACAGGGGGGTCGTGTCTCTCTTCTCCCACTACGCTTTTGTTGGGGGGTCTGAGCAGCTTCCTCCATGCCTGGGAGCGATGAACAGGGGGTAGGTGGGGGCCAGGGTCCCTTCCCCTGCCTGGGGAACTGCCCAGGGCCAGGACCGGAGCCAGGGCAGGTGGCACTGGTGAGCAGGAAGGACTCCTCGTGCTCCCCCTCTTACGGGGAAGATGGGAAGAGACACGGATGAGCCGATTCACTTTGCTCATCTCCCTCCCAGCGCAGCTCGGGTGCCCTTTTCTAAGCACCTGACGCTAGTCCATCAGTGGAAGCATGATGCCAAGTCCCCCGATGGGGACAGGGGTGACAGGGACCCCACAGCCGCTCCCCTGGGTGAGAAAAGTGCTGGAGGGACGCAAGGACCAGGCAGTTTTGGGTAGGGAACCATGACCTAAAGCCTCTGCTGAAGGACATCCTTCCCTCAAAAGGGGCCATGAACAGCGGCCAAGCTGGCTTCCCTAGGAATTGACTCCGTAGAGAGCAGCTCGGGAGGCAGAAGGGTTCCAGACGATGCATTACAGACTGATGGCTGCTCATGACATTTCTGCAGCCGGAGTGCAGCCAAGGGCTGGGCAGCAGAGCCAAGGCACGTGGGCAAGGGCAGAGCCAGCGAGTGCCATCGGAGAGGAAGGGTGGCACACGGGAGGGCAGCGGTGGCTGTGTTCAGGGACCAGAGGCTGTGCCACCAGCTCGGACACGCAGACGTTTGTCTATACCTGAAGCATTTCCTTCTCCACCAGACTAGGAACCAAGATGCATCAAAATTCAAAGACATCAGAGGGAAAGACTGGAGCCGCTTCCAGCCCTTTTCGGCCCCAGGGAAGGGGAAGAGGCACCAAGGATGGTGGGGCACCATCTGGAGAAGCATCACAGTTAGAAGCCATCCTACAGCCCAGGTACCCTGCTCTGGAATAGTTCATTAAAGAGAAGGTGTTGCTAGAGAGGCTGGAGGGTTTCAATAAAGACCCTCTGCTGCTGCTACGGGACCGGCGATCCGCCTGCTCATCCTGGGGACAAACACGGCTCTCAGTCCCACGGCCACCTGCAGACAGGTATTCTCTGCTCTCCAACTCCACATCCAACGCCAACTCCGTGTTTCCAACTTTGGTGTAACACAACCATCAGAAAAAGCCAGCGAACACCCTCCCTGGCTCGCAAGGAGGGATGCAGGAACTTCTGCTCCCCTCCCGCATCCCAGGCACATGCCCGAGGGGGAGCCCAGCAGCAACGCACGGGGATTTTACAGAGAGGGGGGTTCTCCCTCTGCCTCCTCCTGCCCGCAGCCATGGTCAGGAGCAAATCCCGGATCCCGCCGGTTGGGGACAAGGAATGCAAACCCCAGCCACCACGCTCTCCCGAGTCATTGCGTTATTTAGCCTCGCCCCCAAGTCTTGCTGCTCGGGCTGTATTCTAAAGCCATTCTGTTAATGATTTGCTTAATGTTCTCACTATACCCAGTTGTCCTGATTCATTCTTGTCAGAAGAACATGTCCTTCTTAATCCATTTTAAAGGAAATAAACCACAAAGACCAGTTAAGTGCCCCTAAGGCTCTCTCTAGTCCAACATGTTAAGGCTAGAAAGGAGGAGAACACATTGAAAAAGAAATAGCAGGCAATTTTTCATGCAGCTATTTTACAAACTGCACGCCTCCTGTGAATAGCGAGGCTGTAGCCAAAGCCGGGTGCCCCCAAGAAATATTTATCTCCCAATAACTGCAATACTTGGCAAGCGAGATCACTTGCTACGGCCGGGGAAAAGCCACGGAGCCAAGAATGCCTCAGCCAGGGTGGACCCTTCGGTGGTCGGATCCGTCGCTGCAGCACGGTGCTGAAGCCACGTCCCGTCCCACGTCCCTGCAGGTGACCACAGCTGAGCCACCTCTGCTTGGAGAGGGACAGCATCACCCCAATGTCGGTTTGGGACTCATCCCATTTGCTACATAGGCTGAAACCTCACTACCCTCTTCAGTTTTTTTTTTAAAAAAACCAACCATGCTCTGAAAAGAAATCCAGTTCAAAAAAAAAAAACCCAAAAACCAAACCCAACACAACTGAGCACAAACCAAGGCGTGACACAAAAGAGCAATTAGCGCTTCGGCCTCTTCCTCAGCTCCAGCACATCTTATAGCTTTAGATCTCCCCAGATGAGGGGAGGTAACGGGAGAGAGTTGCTCAAGAAGCCAAAAGAAACAATAGCGTCCCAGCTCCTCTATTAGTCACCCGAAATCGAGTTGTGACTAGACCCAGCAGGGCTCAGAGAAAAGAAAAAGTGGTGACTTCATGCTGGACCAGACTTTTTAGAGACAAATTTTTTGTTAGAGACTCCATCACCACTTACTAGAGCATTTTAGGTAGAAGGGTGCCAAAAGAAAAGGGGTGGGGGGAGGAAGGACAGAAACCCCATCTAAAAGCAGGACAGTTGCTATTAAAACAGAAAAAAAAAATTCCTGTTTGAATAATTTTATTCTTAAACATGACAAACTTCTTCAGAGTGTTTTCACAAGTACTTGTGTCTGCTCTACGCGGCTCGGTGAAGCCTGTAGAAATGTGTTCTGGTTTGCAAAATATTAATTAAAAAGACAAAAAAAAAAACCCAAAACCAAACCCCAACAAAACACAAATTGCTGTAACAGCAGCAGTACGTTAAGGCAGCCCCCGGTAGGGCAAGGTACACCTCTGGGGTAATGGCAGGAGCTGAAAGTAGCAGAGGCTCTGGAACCGGTAATCGGCATCTTTTTCTTTGGGACTTTTGTGATTTCTGGAATGTGGAGGCAGTCTCCTGTCTGCTAAGCCTGCTCTAGTACGGATTCACCTTCCTCCCACACTCGCTGCTTCTGCAGCCCGCTCCCCAGCTGGGGGCAGAGGCACTTCGCCGTCTTTGCTCGCGCTCCTGAGGATGACTGTAAACACCACCGACCTGCCTCCTTCCCCTCCCCTCGCCCCCAGCCGCCCTCCCAGTTCCAACTGGGAGGGCAGCAAACCAGAACCCCCCTTTTTCTTGCTTTCCTTAGCGTGCAGAAGCAGGAGTGCCCGGATGGGACAATTTGGACGTTTCGTCGTCTCCCGCTACCGCCTGGGATGCTCTTGCTAGTGCAACATGAAAGCAGAGACCCACACCACTCCCAGCAAGTCTCGTGTGACCATCACGGAGCGGAATATCAGTGCAGTCCTACTGGAAATACTGAGACGAGGCAGACGCAACAGCCCTTCTTCCTCACAACACTTTGTCAACGAGCTTTTTTGGATCCGAGTCTCCACGCAAGTCACAGAAGACAATTGTGCTTCCTGCATTCACATAGAGGAATAAATAGCTCTGGATCAGTTTTCTTTATGGCCGGATTACAGAACCCCCTGAAATACTGATAACGCTTATGAACAGCAGCACTGTGCAGTTCTGTGGAGTATCCTCGGACGTGCCGAGTTCATCTAGGATGCTGGAGCATCTCCTAGGCGTATGGCCCCAAAGAAAGTTGTGTGCTTGCTCATGTTGATGGAGATGTCGGCGTGGACCATTTTCACAGCGATCTTCTGCCGGGCTTTGAGGAGGCAGACCCCGGCGGTATAGCAGGTATTGAAGTTGGTCTTGCCGGTCTCAATACTCCGAGTGCATTGCAGAAAGGGCTTCTCATCCACCACCACCTCGTAGCTGGCAAAATCTGTGAAGTTTATGTAGTATACCTGATGTGAAGCAGGAAGAAGAAAGGTGTTAGGGAGCATATGGAACAAGTCCACGTTCCTTTCAGCCTGTACTTTTACGTTCCCTCTTCTAACGATCCCTTCCCTGGCCCTGGGACACTCGTGGGAGGTTGACTTGATGGAGGTAGAAAGAACCCCAAGCCAACCAAACATGAGGAAACTCTGCATTCCACTCTATGCTAACACCAGCATGCAAGCATCCATGAATCCATGTATCTAAGGCTGAGCTACGAATCCTCACTGTAGACCCTGCTTGTTCCAGGAAAAATTACAAAAATGTGTAAGCAACCCTATCTGCTACCAACAGCTTTCCGTCCGACAGACAAACAGAAATATTTTAACTGAAGTCCTCTTTCACTTACCTGGCCAGTCCTGGGTCCCATGAGCCTCCTTTAGTGTTGACATCAAAACTGCCCTAAGGTGTACGGGGAGCTGCCTTCTTTGGAATGGGACTCGAGGTCTTTCAAAGGCATCAGCTAGTACAGGGAAGACACTCTCCCAACCTCCCCAGCTTGGGAGAAAATGACCTTACAGTGTTTGTACTGATTCAACTCTTAGCTTCAGTCCCTGTGACTCCATCCCTCGTTCCCTAACCACCTCCCACACACCGATTCTGAAGAACTGCGGGATGCAGGAGAATGACCTGGCCAAAAGTCAGTCCCAAGGAGCTGCTTCTTCCCGAGGGAAGAAAACCAGCCATTTCAGATGTTTCTGCTAATTATTCTTAGCCTACACCTGCAACCACAGAAGCTACACAAGACCGAGTCCCCCTTTTCCTTGATTTACAAACGACAAAGGCTTCAGAGGCACAAGGCTGTGGCCAGCAATTACCACTGAGCACTTGGGCAGCAATTACACTCTGGCCCATGTTCGAGTTATTTTTCCTGTCCCCATCCAAACCAGACACGGAACCAGTGGCTGGTTCCATGGAAGTGCTCTTCCAGTTCCATGGAAGAGCACCTGACATGACACCCACAGCCCACTGGATCCGACTGGGTACAGTCCCAGCGGGGCTGCCAGAGGCAAGTCAGGACGCCTGGAGCAAGGTGGAAGTTGCTCAATCACGGCTGTCACACAGAAACCCCCTTGTCTTGCTAAAATCTGTCCCAGGACCTGGACGGTTTATCAGTCCAGCTGGGGAGAGCTCTGCAGGTCTTACTCCCCGCAGCTCAGCAACGCTGTCCAGAGATTTGCAAGACACTGGGAGCCACGCGTTAAACAACAAGTCCATCTTCTGCATTTTATTTGAATGGGGAGAGGAAATGATGGCTTAGCTGTATGCCAAATCACAATACAATCATTAATTCCTGTGTTTAGCCCTTTTTGCAGAAGCAGGTCTATGCATCCACCATCAGTACCAACTAAAGCAGCAGCAGAGCCATCCCACCGCACAACGCGGCCACTGGCGCATCGTGTCGGGCTGAAGCTACATGAAGAAGGTGGAGGCAAAAAGGAGTTACCTGGGCTGGAGTTTGGCCAAGAGTCCTACGCTTACAAAGAGTGACCTGGCTTTGAAATGACCAGGAGCTGTCAGGGTTTTGGTTCAACATCTCTTTTAAAGCTCAGAGCCCAGTGTCCTGCTGGGACCCATGTTCTGCAAGGAGGTTTGGATGGGCTGGTGAATGACCACATGGACAGTTGAAAAAAAGGGCACTGGTGGCATGTGGGATCTCCTGGGTGTCTATGTGTGTGTTTTGGTGACTAATCTCTTGCAGATGGTGTCATGGTGACACATGTGACCTCGCGCTTCGAAACTCTACCGTCTTCCACCGACACCCACCTCCTAGAGCACGAAGCGGTTAAAAGTACAGACAAGTTGGCGGCATTTGGTAGTTGTCTGGAGCCCTCTCGTGGTTCATGCAAGGCTTCCATCGGAACACAAGAATAGGAGTTAGGCCTAGGACCGTACTCACTTCTACCTGACTATAGATGAAGTATGTGCCGTCCACCAGTACCTCCAGCTCCCCACTGCGGGCATGCAGCTTAAACACCTTGGGGTTCATAGTGATGCGAGACCAGTCATTGAGGACTCCACCTGAAAGATCTCAGTATGAGAAAACGGCAGTCACTCAGTACCCGTCAGGAGGAACAGCGCAGGAGCACACAAATACAGTGACATTGCAAGGTTTCATACACAACGGCTGGCACCCACTCAACTCAAAAAGTCAAGAAACTCGGTAAGAAAATCCCAGAATTAAAGTGCATTGGTTTGGACTCCTCTCTACAGCTCTCATTGACCATCCCTTGCTGGTGGACACCCATTAGCACAACTGATTTATGTCTCTACTTCTCTTCGTCAAGAGGAGTTCTCCTCACCCTTGAAAATCGGCGTACAGCCTTTTGTCCTACGCTATGTTCATCCCCAGTGCTGGATGCAGACCAGCTTGCCTCCTCCTGGCACTAAGTGGAGCTTATGATCATATCTGAGTGTTTTACAGGTGTGAAAACACGTTCCCAGTGTCATCCCCATTCCAGGGCAAACACACTCCGGCACATGCAAGCCAGTGCCAGACCTGGAAGGTATTTGCCAAGTTTTCTTAATTCATGGGACAGCCTTCACCCTCCCTTTAAGCTTTGGGACCATCCCTAGGAGAAAACTAGTCTTCATGGCAAAAGAGGCAACAACACAATGAAAAAAATCACGTGCAGCTACAGGACTAGACAGTCAGGACACATCTGGGCATGGAGGCCATGCTGGGGTCACACCATCAATTTTAATTCTGGCATTCCTTGACTTCAAGATGCTTGACTTTGTACCTAGCGTTATTTTAACAAATGCTTTGTCATTACATTTCCTATATTTTGAAAAGCCAAAATAACAACCAAGTATGAAATTGCATCATGTCACAACACATCACTGGGGTCCTCAACATGCTCAGGGGTTTACAGACCCACCACCCAGCCCCCTGGCATCGGAGCCAATGGAATAACCAACAACATGAGTCAACTTCCGTTCTCGGGACGGGCCAATGAGCAGGTCCAGAGGACAGGCTTTGCTCCGAGCTGAGGACAGAGCCCTTCTCTGGAGGTGCCTTATCAAATACAACTCTTTTCCTTCCAGCCTCCATCTGCGTCTCAGCTCCGTGCCCGCCGTTGCCCACCAGCCAGGCTGTGTCTGCTGCTGGCTGGCAGCGGGGCAGCGCTAACGGCTCCCAGCAGCAGATTGTTCCCAGCAGCAGGGATCCCGCTCCCAGGGCGATTCCCACTCGCAGGGAGCAGTGTACGCTCTGTAAACATACAGCCTGCCCATTAATAAAGGGATAATTAACTTTTTTAATGTAACATAACATTTTTTAACTTTTTTGCTTAATGTAAGCAAAACAGCATCTTTTCCCTCGTATTGTTCTCTGCAACGGCCGGTTTCCTTTTTGTTTTGGGGAGCTTTCCCCCACCCCGCTGTAACCATACATCCCTAACCATGAGAAATTCCACCTCCCACAGCTCACGTCTGCTGAAAGAGAGAAATTGCCTTTCAACAGGAGCGGCGGCCAAGCCCTCCTCATAGAATCATAGAATGGCCCCACACATGGGGCAGAAGTTGGTGCCCAGGGGTCTTACAGCCCTGGTTCTGCCCCACCAACCCTTGGGGTCTGGGCTGGGGGTACATGCACCGGGGTTGGGGGTATGTGCGGTGACTCGGGGAGGGACAAGCCAGCTCCTCTCTGGCACAGCCGGACATTGCAAGCGGGGAGGCAGCAGCTCATGAATGAGACCCAGCTGTTTGCAAAACAGAGCAAGAACTCGGAGAAAAAAATTGGATAGGGAGCCAGGGAGGAAGGAGGAGAGCAAAGAGCTGCCTGCAGATGGGAAATGGCTTGGCTGGACTGGAGCTGAAAGGCTGCTGGTGGGGCAGGGATGCCCAAGGGACGGGGGAGGCTGCGGGGGTGCATGCTTGTAGCAAAACACGGGGGGAGCCGGTGGCTGTGCACCTCAGTGTCCTCGCACCACAGCTGTGCCTGCCCCGGCCATGCACTGCTGGGAAAAGTGGGGAAAAACACAGGATAATGGGGCTGAGACAGGAAAAGGATACACTGAGGGCTTAAAACAGTATAGTGGGGGAAGGAGTTTTTTTTTCGAGGTGCTGGTGATACAACAGAAGGATGGAGGAGGCACATCACGCATCTAGAGGTCAAGGAGAAGAGGGGTTCAGTGGGATAGAATTCCTGGGATGCACAGGATAGAGGTAATCTGGGAAGTAAACAGGAGAAACAGGGATGGACGTGGGAGAGAAGACTCCTCGGAGGGGTCTGGGAGGGGAACTGGGGTGTCACAGGGGAGGCCAGCAGCAGGGACACTCAGGGACCCGTGTTAGAGGATGGGCTCAGACCCAGACACGAGGCTGTGGGTGCAGGAAGGGCTCTGTTCGGTAACTGAGATGCTTACCATTCTTCACTTGGATCGCTGAGCCTTGGCCTTGGAGGTGGACCACAGCTGGCTGCAAAGGAGACGGCAGGGATTTAAAATTCATGGAAAACACTGTGTCATCTTACAGTCCCTCGACACGGCTCCCCAGCGCTGCTGACCAGTACAGACGCACCACAGTACCCCGAGACCATTAACACTTTTCATTAATGGAAAAAAGACCAGAGCAGCTGACAACAACATGTTGGAGTACTGGAGAAGAGGCGAGAAGCCCAAGCCCGACTAACAGGGCTTTCTTTGGGGCAACACAAGGGGTGAGCTCAGGCAGTCACTCTGGGTAGCTCGGATTTAGCACAGGCAGGAAGGGGTGGGTTTTTTCAGAGCTATACCATCAAACACAACCCAGCTGGTTATGTTTACAAAAATCCAGCCAAAGCTGTTTTTTTCCCTTGAAAGAACATCAACCAACCTGGATGTCTCTGGAGCCCGGCTTGTCCGTGGCACCTGCAAAATGCAACGTCACATCGTTGAGGAGGAAGCTTGAACACTCCTATAAATAAAACTCCTTTTGCCCCATAATAACCATTAAACCCCATTTTTAACTGAAGGACAGTTACAGTGGTACAGGGTGCAGCTTAATTTTAGCAAGTCCGTAAGAAGGACAAGATTCATCCTACTTTTCCCTATTTTATCCCTACATTTCTGTCTAACATCACCAAAATTCCCCAACGTTATCCAACCAGTTTCCACTAGAAGGACGGATTGCACAACGCTCCCCCTGTTCGGCAGTGGCAATAAAGCCTCTTGGCTGCCAAGATTATGAGTTTCACCCTGCAGCGACTCAGGTCATTCATTGCCTTCAAGCTCCATGCTGAAATCGCTTTTCTCCAAGGGCTAAATCTCTATGACGGAGGAGATGCTTGTGGGCAGCAGTCGGGAGTGCTGAGGACCTCCTGCTGCTCCTGGCCTCTGCTTTGGCAACTTCTGAGATAGAAACTGAGGAGGCAACCAAGTTTTCCTTTGAGCTACACGAGCTATAGGGTAACAGCCCTGATTTCTCTGAAGATACATTTTTTAATAGCAAACTGTTCATGTATATATATACACATAACAAAGAACATTGATGTGAGTTTCTACTACTATCTATTTTTAAGAGTTATTAAATTCAGGGATTTTAACAAAATAATTGGCACGTGACTCCATGGAGAAACAACACAGTGCAGATGCAAAGAAACAAAAACGAAACCAAGAACCGCAGGAGAAAAACATATTTTCACGTGGCTGGTCCGGGAGGCGAGATGCCTCGGTCTGTGTGGTTCCTGGGCTGGTTTAGCGGCTGTGCT